ATGAAAGAGTGGGCAGTGAATAAGGAACAGCCCTACAAGCCATATGCCAAGACTGCAGCAAACCAGCACAGGTGGGGCACACTGCTTATTTGTATGCATGCTTGCTCTATCCTCAAATATGCTGAGATCATCAAGGCTGGCAGGGCGCCTGCCCATCAGGGGCCGTGGGGCAGCAGGAACCAGTCGTGCCGGTGGCCCATGGTGGTTAACGAAATCTGACCCAACACCCAGCCCAGAGGCAGGTGTTTCATGCCACAGAACCAAGAACCTGAAACCGACGAGCCCCTGGGGGCCCCGTGGAGGGCAGGACCAGGGCCAGCGCTGCCAGAGTCCTGACCCAGGTGGCAGAAGATCACGCGAACGGGTTCGGAAGGCTAGAAGCCTTAGGAAAAGCTCGGAAGACAGGAGGCAGCTCGGAGCAGCCACAGGCGTGTGGGAGGAAGGTTGTTCACAGAACTAGACCGACCGCCGGCCACCACCCAAGCCCAGCGGGAGACTCGGAAGTGTGATGTCGTAAAAAGAGGCCATGGACCGCTTCTCCTCCCCAAGTGATAGATGAAAGATGGTGGGAAACTCTTTGCTGACCCGCCCAGAGACACTGCGATGGTTAGCTTTTTTTTTTTTCTTCAGTGAATTGCCCTCTGTTTTATTTTATTTTATTTTATTTTTTATTAAGGTATCATTGATAGACACTTATGAAGGTTTTGCATGAAAAACATTGTGGTTACTACATTCACCCATATTATCAAGTACCCCCCATACTTCATTGCAGTCACTGTTCATCAGTGTAGGAAGATGCCACAGAGTCCCTACTTGCCTTCTCTGTGCTACCCTGTCTTCCCTGTGACCCCACACACACCATGTGTATGCGATTAGCTTTTGAGTCAGCTAAGCTAGGCTCTACCTCCCAGTTACTTAACACTGATTAAGTGTTGCTGTGAAGGTGTTTTTTAGATATACTTAACATCTACAATCAGTTGACTTTAAGGAAAGGAGTAAATTGTACTCCTTCACTTCACTGTAAATGGGCCTCATGTGATCAGTTGAAAGGCCTTAAGAGCAAAAATTGATGTTTCCCTGGGAAGAAATTCTGCCTTGAGGCTGCAGCATCAGCAGCTGCCTGAGGTTCCAGCTTGGTGGCCTGCTGTCCTGCAGATGTCACACTTGCAGGCCCTACAATTGCATGAGCCAGTGCCTTAAAATATATCTCTTTATACATATGTGTGCATATATATATATATATTTTAAGATAAACATATACCTTAAGATATAAATTTATATATAAGATTTATGTCATTAACAAATATTAGGATAAATATATATAATAGATGATAGATAATGGATAGATAAGTGGTGGATTCATAGATAGATAATAGATAGGTAATGGATGGTGGCTAAACAGAAATAGAGCTAGATAAATGATGATAGAAACATACATACACACATACATACACGCATAGTTAGATACATAGATAGATGAGAGATGAGAGATAGAGATAGATAGGTGATATTAGTTCTGTTTCTCTGGAGAACACTGACTGTAGAATGAAGCCTGGTTCCTCTCTCCTTGAACCTGGGCTGTCTTCAGTGACCTTGGGGACTTGGGAGTCTAGATCATAAGAAGACATGCAGCTTCCTCTCAGGCCCTTTGAAATACACCCTTTCAGACCCAGCTACCATGTTAAGAGGAAGCCCACACAAGCCCACTGAGAAGGCCCTCCAGTGAGAGGAACTGAGGACCCCGGCCAACAGCTGGCACCAAATTGCTAGCTGTGAGAACGAGCCATCTCGAACGTGAGTCTTCCCACCTGGAACAATCCGCCCCTGCTCAATTCATATAGAACAGAGAAAGTCGCACCAGTTATGCCCTGCTCAAATTGTAAACTAAATTGTGAGCAAACTACATTTTGTCATTTTAAGCTATTAAACTTCCTGGCAGTTCGTTACAGAATAACAGCTAACTGGGACAAATATAATCCCCAACCTTTCTAAAATCCTCTGAAAAAATGGTTATATGTGTGTAAATGTATGTATATACATTGGAAAATGTTCACATATGCAATTTTTTAGCTAATAAAAGAATCACACCCAACTGCTGGGATGGTGGTAGGGAGCAGAAACAAGAGTGGAAGAATTTCCTTTTTAGAGTTCTACTTTCTTTACGTTGAGCCCATGTAGTATTTGGAGAAAGAGAGAGAATAAATGAATCAAGTAGCTTACAACAGCTCTCCCTGTCTCACAGGTAGCACCAAGCATGTGTTCAACATTATTTCTCTTATTTTATAAGAGAACAAGGACATGAGCATCAGCTGACAGCCTTGGGTCCCTCTGGCACATACATCAGAGATTTTACTAATTGTGAGCACTCCCCACCACCACCACCATGTTCATTTTCTCAGCCCTTAGCAGGGGGTTGTCCCCCAGGAGAAGGGCAAGTGCCGTGGGGTCAAGCAGCCCACGATCAAAGCCGAAATTTGCCACTCTCCAGCTGTGTGACCTTGGGCAAGTGAATTGCTCCCCCCATCCCATGCCTTATGTTCCCCCTTAGAAAAATGGCATAATAATAGACCTATGGGGATTGGAGGGATGAGCCACATGTGTGTCTTAGTTTGGGTTCTTCAGAAATAGACTATGATGCAAGGACTCAAGTGCAAATACTTTTCTGAGACAAGAATCCAACTGCAAGTTATTTCTTTGGTTGGCAATCCCAGGAGATGCCTTAAAGGCATCAGGGAAATGATGGTTTATCAAACAAGTTCCCACTGTGGGCACCTGGGGCTTGGTGTCTCTGGGGACCTCAGGGAGACAGCAGAGAATAATCATTAGTCAGGCTGCTTCCAAAGACATCATTTCTCCAGGATATTCTGCCTGCTGCAAGTGGTGGGGGGGGGTTGGTCAGTGGCCTGATGTGGACACAGAGGCTTGTTCAGTAAGTGGGACCCTCCCCTCCTCTCTTCCCAACACACCCACCCGCATACAGTGACACACACGAAGACCCACACACTCAGACACATCCATACTCACACAAATGAACACACATGTGCAGGTACACAGGCACACACATTCTCACACTTTGACATGTACACTGAACTGATGGAGCCCAGAGGCCTTAGCTCCTGTTGTCCCAGATCTTTCCAGTAGAGGGAGCCTGTGACACACTCCGGAGAGAAAGGAGACACAGCCGCCAGGGTATGTGTTTCCACAATGACCCACGCAGCGCAGGCCCCACTCCTCCCTTCCTCCGTCCCTCATTCACTCACCATCAGGGACCTTAGCGGGGAGTCAATATGCGTCACAAATGCATATATTCATGTCAATATGCATGCAGAAAAATCCACATGGCAAGGGAGAACCGAGGTGCAAAGAGGAGCCATCAGGAGTCCAAAGCCACCGCTAGAAAGGGGCAGAGCCGGGGTGCGAGCCCACATGTGTTGCCTCCAGCGCCAAGTTCTTTTTGCTGGCAGATGGTTGCACAGGGGAGGGCCCAGGGAGGCCAGAGCAATGTTTACGGTAATATGCACGCTTAGAGACCCCCCCTTCGGGATGGGGGTGTGGGAGAGCAAAGGCTGGGTGACTCGGTTAGGTACTGAAACCGCTGGTTTCCCACTCAGCCCGCGAGTAGCCTCGCACAGGGGATGCTGGCCGGAGACCCCAGCACACGCCACCCGGGGGCACCCCAGAACACACGGCGATGTGGCCTCCAGCATCACACCTCCCAGCTTTGGCTTATCTGCACGACCCCGCACCCCATCCCACCTCTCTCCTGAACTCCAGACCGGTCCATCCAACTGCCTGCCTCACATCTCCAACTCCTCCTGGCCCAAACCGACACCCTGATCTCCCCCCAACCCCAGAAAAAAAACAACTTACACCATTTGGCATTCTGTTGATGACATTTACATCTTCCCAGGCGCTCAGAATCAAACCTGGGGACCTCTCTTTCTCCCGAGCCCCACATTCAGTCCATCAGCAAACCTAACCCGCGATACCTTGATAGAGTAATCATTCCTCATCAGAATGCAGCTGCCCCTCTTCACCTCTACAGCCCACAGCTAAGCCGAAGCCACTGTCACCTCTTACCTGGGCAAATTTGGACATTCCCATATGCTCTCCCTAGTCCCATCCTCGCTTCCCAGTCTCTATGCAACACAGCAGCCAATGACTGTATGGCAAATCTTGTCCCTCCTCTGCTCAGAACCCTCCGTGTCTCCTTACTTCTCAAAAAAAAAAGTCAAGGGACTCCAGGGCTGCATGATCTTCTTCCATCACCTCCCACCCTCGTCTCCTTCCACACTTCCCCCTCCAGCCACACTGGTTTCAATGTTCTCCGACATTCCAAGCTTGTTCCTACCTCAGGACCTTTGCATTGGCTTTTCTGTCTGCCTTGAACTCCTCCCCTAAATAACCACATGGCTCCCCATAGCTCCCACCTAAAACCTTTGTTGAAATGGCCCCTTCTCAGCAACACTTCACTGACCATCTTGCAACCTCTCTCCCCACCAGCATTATTAAATACCCCAATGACTCCCCGTTCCCGTCACAATAAAAGTCAGTCATCTCCAAGGCCCTGTGTGAATTTACATATTTATGTGCCTATTAATCATGTGTCAACTGTTGCCCTCTCTACAAGGTCAAGTATACAAGGGCTCAAATACTGCCTGGCTCACAGCAGATGCTCAATAAATATTTGAAAAGTTACTATCATTGTCATAGAACCTGGCATTGCCCCACTTTCTATATACCACCATATCAAGAACCACCCCATAAGCTGTTCCCCCAGCCAAAGACCTGGGAATTACCCTTACTTCTTCCCTCCCCTTTACCCCCACAGCTATCAACCCTCCTGTCCCATCTGGACCTCAGGCTCCCTCTTCCCCGACTTCCACGCCCAAAGCCCCACCACCCACGCACACTCCCAAGCCACCTCCCTGCCAACCCAGATCCGACCATGTCCTGTCCTGCCCCCTGCTCACACACCCTCTATAGCTCCCTACTGCCCTCAGTATAGGCCTGAACAGTGATCTGTTGACAAAATAAATGCATACACAAACTGTCCCAAAAAGTCTGAGTTTATGTCCGAGGACAAATGGCTTCCCAGCCTCCTGGCCCACAGCTTCCCTTCCGACCAGGGAGGGCCCCTCTTTTCCCTGCTGGGTCCCAGGGGGAGTGTCCGGCTAGGAAGGCTTGGGAGTGAACGGTGGGAGAGTCTATACCCCTTGATTTTATTCTACAAAAATCAGAACATTCAGCAAAGGGAAGAAGAAAGGGGCTTGGGAGGGAGGGTCTGAGCTCCCAAAACAACCAAATCCAGCAGCCCAGGCCCTGGGATGCAGCCTATGCCTGAGGAGTTGGTCCATATAAACTGGAGGCCTCAGGAAGATGATATCCCAGATCAAGGCTCTACCCGAGGGCTCCAACTCACAAATCGTCAATTTAGAAATGTATTCGTAGGGGCACGGGCTAGAATCCCAGACACCTTAAGTTATCAGGTCTCAGGTCCCGCAGGGGAAGGCTCAGGGGGCGGAGCCTGAAGGCCTGAATCCACGATGTCACGGGGACGGGGCCGAGGCCCTGAGGGTGTGACCAACCCTAGTCCCTCAAATGAGAGAGCAGAAACTGCACTCAGTGGACGGGATCTGACCCTCAGGAGGCGGGGCCTTCCCATGGTGGGCGTGGCCTGCACCGTCGGGCCGCTCACGGTGGAGCCTGGACTTCGAGGGGCGTGGTCTATGCCCTGAGGATCTTGGGGGTGGGGCTTGGCCCGCCGGGGGCGGGGCCTTGCCTCTCTGGGCGGGGCTTGGGCCTCGGTCTGCGGAGGGCCTCGATCGCTCCCCTGGGCTCAGGCCCGCGAAGGCAGCGGCTCCACGTTGAGCCAGATGCCGTTCTCCGTCCGCAGGATGAGTTCCGGCTTCCGTCGCACCTTGCGCGTCCGGTCCACGCTCAGGCGAAAGCGCAGCAGAGTCAGCGCCACAGCCACGCGCATCTCAGCCATGGCGAAGCTCTGTCCTATGCAGTTCCTGGAGGAAGGGGGACGATTGGGTTGGGACGCTCAGACTCGGCCCCGGTGCAAGCCGAGTCGCTGTGACAGGGTAAATGACCGCCCCCTCTGAACCCCAGTACCGCCTGTGCAGAACGGGGATACTGCCATCACACAGCTGCTGGGAACAAATAAGCCCAGAATGTAGGGCCTGGCACGCAGTCGGTGCTCAATACCCGGGGATGCTCTCTCGGAGTCTGATTTGGGGGTTTCCTGAGGCATTGCTGGGTCGGCAGAAAGGACTTGTGGGTGGGACGTGGTTTCTGCTCCTGACAGGCACATCCCTGACCTTCCCCCGGCCTCAGCGGCCGCCTACAATGGGCTTAGATGGCAGTAGAAGCGGGGGAGGGAGGAATGAAGAGTTACCTGGGTCCCGCGGAGAAGGGCACGAAGGCTAGCGGGGAGCGCTGCTGAGGGTTGTCTGGGTCAAAGCGATAGGGGTTGTACACCTAGGCAGGGGCAGACTGGAGGTAATTCTGGGGGCCTGGCGCAGCCATCTCTGCTTTGCTCCCTCCTGCAGCCTCTGGGACCAGCCTAGCTGGACAGAGAATCTCTCTAGGGCCCAGGCACACCTGCCTCTCTCTGTTACTCGGGCTTGCCAGGCTCACCCCCACAGTAAGGCCCTGTACTTGCTGTTTCCTCGGCCGGTAACATGCTCTTCGCTGCTTTTCACAATTTTCAGTTTCAGCTCACACATCTCTTCCTCTGCAAGGCCTCCGCTCACCTTGGGAGCTGAAGTTCTTCTCTGCCCCCACTGCACTCCACAATTTTTTACTTCCTTTTATCAGTACCCAAAACGACCTTATTTTTTGCTTATATTCTTCCCCTGCATTTCAATATGAGCTCAGCAAGGGCAAAGATAGTATCTTCTTCTGTCCTCAATGTCCAGCACAGGGACTGGCACACAGTAGGCGCTCAATAAATATTTGCCGACCTAACACATTGTCCGTGATTGGGTGAATAATGGGGGAGGAGCGCTCAAACCCTGCACCCAGCCCCACCTGGCTCCCTGGTTGGGAGGGGTGGAGAGGCCTGGCTGCCTGCCCCGTGACAGCCCCTTCCAAGGAGGAAGAGGCTGAGGGGAGGGAGGATGGGGACAGGAGCTCACCTTGGAGTCGGGCCACACTGTTGGGTTGTGGTGGGTTCCATAGATGCTGACCAAGCAGATGATTCCTGTGCGGAGGGGTGGAGTCAGTAGGATTCACTCCGCCCCCTCCTTAGAGGCCCCCATCACCTTCTTTCCAGCCGCCACGCCGGCCACAGAGGGCCTGTCCCCACTCACATACTGACATTGCTCCTCTTCAGCTCACAGTCTCCCATGGTTCCCTATTGCCCTGAGGACCTATGCCTCAGTCTGGCATTCAAGGCCTATCACTCTCTGCACCCTGAAGCCCTGCTCCATAAACATGCTCTTTAACTTCCAGCCTCCAAGACTCACCTGTAATGTTCCCTCTTCCAGGCAGCCCTCCCTGCATTCTGCCCCACTTAGAGCCATCACTTCTTATTTGGGGCTGCTCCAGCCCCTGTCCCTACTTTCAGCACATCCCTGACCCCATATGGCTAGGAATGTCTGTGCCCTGCCACATCTCTCCCAGATTGGGTGATGCTCAAGACCTGGGCCTGGGGATGAGGTCCTCCCAGGACAGGACCTGGTCACCAGGAAATATCTGGCAACAGAATAAAAGCCTACCCTGCCACACCCCCTTCAGCTTTTCCACCTGGACTCACCCCCCTCTACATCCCCTACACAAATGGGTCTCTCCCATTGCTGAAGAAGCAAGAGTCATGCAAAGGGCTGAACCATCTACAGGGATGTTGCACCTAGGGCAGGCATGACCAGGGGCCAGTGGGCAACAGAGCAGCCAGGCATCAAGGAGCACCCAGCGATCACCTTTGGGGATGATGCGCCCATCTGGGAGCTTGATGTCTTCCGTGCAGCGGCGGGAGACTAGGGTCACAGGTGGGAACTGGCGTAGACTCTCCTTAATGCACATGGTGGTGAAGGGCAGCTGGGTCAGATCGTCCCTGGGGAGTGTGGAATGGTAGGTGACTTGGGGCATACGCACACGCTCAGGAGCAACCACGCAGGAAATCTGCCCAGAATCTCAGACTTGCCCCAACTTTGCACACATGCACTTGTGCCTGTTACCACTAAATCCCAGCATGCACCATGTCTGGCCCTAACCAATCAGAGCAGTGCCAGCAGCAGGCTTCTGCTGGCACAGCATTAACCCTCTTACTGGTGAATTATATGGACATCAGTGGGCACCCAGGAGAGGTGCCAGGACAGCAGGAGGACCTGGGCAGCAGCCACTTACCAGCCTGTATGGACCAATGTCAGTGTATGAAAACCCATACATCCTCTCCTTATGTTATTTACTTAATGTTTTTTCTCCTTTGGACTCCAAGGCCCAAATTGGATCAATTATAATTCTTGTTTCAGAATCTAGATTGTTTTCTTTACACCAACAGGTTCTCCTTTAAAACTTTATGTGGATACCACAGGGGCAAATGGCATGCCTGGCATGAAAGTTTCCATACACATAAACACCACTGGGAAAGCAGAAACGAGTTACTAAATTCTGGCTAACCACAACTCTTGTCCAGTTCTCAGGACTTGAGGCATCTTCTCCCTTTGCTGAAAAGACAAATTAGCAAGGAGTTCAACATACACAATAGCACCCCACTGAGAGTGTCTCCCTGATATCAGAATCCAAGAGGTTGACACTGAGACAAGGGAACTTTCTGTTGGATGCCATTTAGCGCTGTTTTCTTTCTATAGCCCAGAATCAGCTCTACATGGAACACATCTGAAGGAAGTCAGATTATTGTTCCTGATTCTTCCCTAGGTGTTTGAATCACACACAGGTGCCCTTTGCCATGTGCTTCTGCAGTGCCTTCTGTGCAGGTGGGTGGAATATATGTCCTGACCCATTCATGTTGGGCTTTGCTAAATGACTCGCTTTAGCTAGTGGAATGTTACAATACATGCAAAAGCTTTAAATTGTGTGGCTCTTTGGGCTTTCAGAATCTGCCTTAAGAAGAACATACCCAGGGAAGCTGCTGCTTCGAGGAGAATGAGGAGACACATGGAACAGACCTAAATCCAAACCTCAGTTTGGAAGTGACCCCACTCAACTCAGCAGTGCCCAGAGGTGACTGACAAGAGGAATATGCAGACAAGAGCAAGAAATACATGCAGACAAGAACAACAGATAAACACTTGCTGCAAACCAGAGTTTGGGGACTGTTTGTTAGGTAGCATTATTGCAACAATTGCTGACTCAGACACGTCTAAGAACTGTTGCATTAAGAACTGTTGCATTACAACGCAGGCATGTGCATTACTCTCAACCTCATTTTACAGTTGAAGAAATTGAAATCCAAGAAGACTAAGTGGCTTGTCGGAGGTCAGACAGTCAATAATTGGTAAAGCAGACAGGTTCAAACCCAAGGCACTAGACTCAACCTGCCCACCACTATCCCCCCAACCCCAGACTAACCACTCCAGCTCCTCCAGTTCCCGGCCTTTCATGACTCCCTGGATTTCCTCCCGGCACTTCTCCTGGTACTCTGGATACTTGGCCAAGTTGAAAAACACCCACGAGAGCCCACTGGATGTTGTGTCGTGACCTGCAGGCCAATGAGGAGCTCAAATGGAGGTTGCCTGAAGGTAGCAGAGATGCTGTCTCCAGACAATGGGGTCCCTCCCCCTCTTCCCCAAGTTCACCCGACATCCTCACCCTCAAACATAAAGGTGTCCGCCTCAGCTCGGATGTCCTCATCTGACAGTTCCTTCCCATCTTCATCCTAGAGTGGGCAGTAGGGGATTCTCAGCCCACTTCATCCCTCCCTCTGCACCCTAGGGTCTCCATCAAAGTAAAAAATTACCCCACACACACACACCCTTAAGCCAAACTGCGAGGGAAAGGATTCCAGGCAGATGGGGGTATGCAACCTGCCTAAAGGAGACTGGAAAAGGGAGGGAGACTGAAAGGTGAGTGAGGAAAGGGAGTTCATATTTCTTGAGCAGCTGCGAGCCCCATGCCTCCTGCCTGACAACAATCTTGTGATCAGGTCTTACGACCAGACAGTCATGTTGTAAATGAGGAAAGTGGGGCACAGAGAGAAGAGTCCAATGACTAAGGTCAAACATCCACTAAGCAGCTGAGCCGGAACTGGAATCCACGGCTGCCTGAACCCAGACCCCAGGTACTGCTCAGAGATTCCACCACCCATGGGTGACCGCCTATCTCTGCACATCTCATGTTTCTTCCAAGTCTTGTATTTCTTCTTCATAAGTGTTGTGGGCTAAATTGTGTCTCCCCACCCTCCAGAATTCATATGTTGACATCCTAACTCCCCAGGACCTCAGAAAGTGACTATATTTGGAGACAGAGCCTGTGCAGAGGTGATTACATCACATTAGGTCGTTAGGGTAAGTGCCCACCCAGTATGACTGGTGTCCTTATAAGAAAAGGGAATTTGGACAAAGACACACACAGGAAAGACCACATGAGAGAAGACAGTCAGCTACGAGCCAGGGAGAAAGACCTCAGAAAACACCAACCCTGCCAACACCCTGACCTCAGACTTCTTACCTCCAGAATTGTGAGAAGATTAATTTCTGCCATTTAAGCCACGCAGTCTGTGGTGCTTTGTTACGGCAGCCCTAGCAAGTGGACCCAGTAAGTCTGATGTGTTCTGTGTCTGCCTGCCTCTTAGATTTGTTAGTTTGGACCTTTATCATTTTAACTGATTGGTGCAATTTATGACAGGGCCGTCCTGGGCAGGATCCCACCCTCCAGGGTCCAGACTCACCTTGGCCAAGAGCAGCACATCGATGAAATCCAAGGTCTTGCCCTGCTTGGCCTTAAGCCAGGCCTCAGTGCCCAGCTGACGGAGTACCCGCCGCCGCTCCTGGATGACCTCCGTGGTGAAGCGGTGCACAGTGTCACAGGCCTGCCGGAAACGCCGCCCATCCGCCGAGCGGTAGTAGATGAAGTCGAGATGGTGGTGCAGGTGATACTGGCGCCGGACCACCAGCGCGCTCAGCCCAATGATGGCCGAGATGTAATCGCTCATCTTCCTGCCAGGGAGAAGGGTTGTGAGCACAGGGCCATCTCCTAAGACAAGCTGCCTTTCCCCACGGGTAGGAGACAAAGAGAGGCCCTGGGTTGACTATATTTTCTTATTTTCTTATATTCTTGATGCTCTGCCATCTGGGGCCTTGCTGATTGGAGAGACACCCCTGACCCCAGGACTAGCCAGTTCTTAGAGATAACAAATGACTCACCTAGGGACACACCTTTCATATGCAAATCAACCACTCCAGAGACCACATGCTGAAATTTATCAGTCTGGGCCACTACCCCCTCTGCCTTGATCATCCCAAGGCCAGTCCCAGACAACTAGGGACAGCTCCTATCCCCCAGAGACCCCTGGAATTATTCAAACTAGCCGATCCCAGGTCTGTCTTCCCTGCCTTACCTGTTCCTTCCCACAGAAACCACAAAAAAGGTTTTTGCCATGCTTTCTTGGACTGACCCTGGTGCTTCCCTGTATGGCCCTGCTGGGCGTGGCATTTCCCCTCCCCTTGGGAACTGTATGTAACAAACTATCTTTTCAATGACAATGATTTCCTGATGTGTTGACTTCATTATACCTGAATAAACCCAAAATCCAGGTACATCTTAAAACAGGCCCAAAGATGGACGAGGATTCCCAAATAGATGGAGGCTCAGTAGCACTAAATGGCTATAAACCACAGAGGTGGGGGTGGGAATATTTGCAATTCATATGTCTGATCAGGAACTTGTATCTGTAATCTATAAAGAACTCTCAAAATGCAATGATAGAAAGACAACCCGATTAAAAAATGGGCAAAGGGCATGAATAGACATTTCTCCAAAGAAGATATACAAATGGCCAATATGCACATGAAAAGATGCTTAATAGCTTTAGCCATTATGGAAATGAAAAACAAAACCACAATGAGATACCACTTCACCCCAAAGAGGCATAGCTGCAATCAAAAAGGCAGATAATAACGAGTGTTGGTGAGGGTCTGGAGAAATTGGAGCCCTCACGTACTGCTTGTAGGAATGTAAGAGGGTGCATCCATTTTGGGGAAAAAGTCTGGCAATTCCTCAAAAGGTTAAATATAGAATTATCATGCAACCCATGCAATTCCACTCCTAGGTATATGCCCAAGAGAATTAAAAACATGTTCACATAAAAACTTGTACATGAACGTTTCTAGCAGCATTAGTCATAATAAACAAAAAGTAAGAACAATCCAGATGTCCATCAGTGGATGATTGAATTAAAAAAAATGCAGTATTGTGTGGCAAATCGAATACTACTCCACAAATTAAAAGTGTTGACATATGCTACAACATGAATTAATCTTGAAAACATTATGGTGAGTGAATGAAACCAGACACAAAAGTCTATATAATTCCAGCTATATGATATTTCCATAATAGACAGATCTAAAGAGACAGAAGGAAGATTAGTGTTTGCCTAGACCCAGGAGGGAAGTGGAAGTGCGTGATCAGTGCTAAAATGTACAGGTTTCTCTCTGGTAGAAACATTCTAACACTGATAATGGTGACAGTTGCACAACTCTGTGAATATACTAGAAACCACTGGATTATGTACTTTAGGTGAATTATATGATACGTGAATTATATCTCAGCCAAGTTATTACTAAAAAAACACAAAATTGCTGGGACAGGTTTGCAGGGAGCTGTCCTGAGTTCTGAAGTGTGCCTGTTTTCATGCACTCATCACAATCTGTCGTTTGCTTGTTTATTTATTTGTGTATACGTATTGCCTGTCTTCCCACCAAAATGTTAAGTTCCGAAAGTGCAAGTCTTTGAAATGTACCTCTACAAGGACCAGGCAACAAGGTCAACAGTTTAATATTGAGGACCTATCATGTTCTACAAACTTGGCATCCATTATGTCCCTTATTTTTTTGTTTGTTTGTTTTGGTATCATTAATATAAAATCACATGAGCAACACTGTGGTTACTAGATTCTCCCCATGCTCAAGTCCCCCACACACACCCCATTACTGTCACTGTCCATCCTCGTAGTGAGATGCTATAGAGTCACTACTTGTCTTCTCTGTGTTATACTGCCTTCCCTGTGCCCCCAGCCACCTATGCTGTCCCTTATTCTTTATACCCCCACTTAGATTATAAATTCCAAGGAAATGGAACTTACTGTGTTGCTAACCACCATATTCTCAGTTGCAAGCATAGTACCAGGCACATACTAGATACACAACAAATATTTGATGAATGAATGAATGAACCAGGACAATAGTCATTTTATTCATTCATTCAGCCAATATTTGCTGAGCATCTATTGTGTGCCAGAGCAATGCTACATAAATTTTAGCCTTAAAACATCTCTTAGCGGGTCAGGATTATCATCTTTGCTTTACAAACAAGGACGCTGAGGCTCAGAAAGTGAGAGGACACTTTTCCAAATGCCACACACTCATTGTGGAGGAATGAGGGAAACTGGCATTTACTGAGCACCTACTATGCACAAACCCAAGCCACCAACTCACGTTCTCACATTTAATTCTCACATGAAGACAACGGGGAAGGAATTGGGATTCCATTTTTTGAATAAGGAAACAAGCTCAGAGAGGTGACGTCAATTTCCCAGAAGCACACAGCCTGTCAGTGGCACAGTGCCAGGAGCCCAGGGGTGCCTAACCCCTAAGCGTTTCCTTTCTCCTCCTACCAGCTCACTCCTGGGGAAGCTCTATCTTCCCCAGGGAGGCCACACTCACTCCTGGCAGTTGCTGTTGCTGCTGAAGATGCATTTCTGAAGACCGTCCAGGGTCATGAGGCTGACATGCTCAAACATGTCAAGGGAGACCACTGAGCCCTCTGCCAGGCGCCGCCACTTAGCCTGGAAGAGAGAGACATGTAGCAAATGGGCCTGGAGACCATGGACTTTAAACCAGGCTGATAATGACCTGGTATCATGCTCACTACAGGCCTACTTGATAAAGGAAGTGAGGCTTCCTGACATCTCACAGCCTGCCCATGAACTGGATCCTGGACCAGTCTCAGTCCCAGGACACCCTCTTTCCAAGAAGCCTTGGGACTCACGTGCATGATGTCAGCACACTGGTTGAAGATCTTCATGTAGGGCTTCAGGATGTCAAAGTGGAAGGCAGGGGTCAGCAGGCGGCGGTGCCGGCTCCACTTGTGACCTTTGCTGAGAAGCAGCCCATCTCCTGAGCCCAGAAGACTGAAGTTAGGGGCCTCTCCTATTACTCAGAAACACTCTAAGAAACCCCATGCCCTCTTCCCTGAAGCCCCTAGCCCCAGCCTACTCAGTCTTGCACTCACCTAGCCAAGGTTTCAGGAAGCCATAGAAAAGGTCGTCCTTAGGGGCAATGGCAGCTGTGGAGAGACAAGAGGCCTTGATGAGTCAAACCAAGTTCTGACCCTTGACTTCTGCTTATGACCTCCTCAGGCCTCCTCTCTGGGTTCTGACCTCTCACCACACTCCTCCAGTCCATCCTCTGCACCTATCCCAGAAAGATCCTTGGAACATATTGATCTGAACATGAGTCTCCCCTGCTCAAACACCTCCCATGGCTCCCCAGTACTCTTATTAAAAAGTTCAAACTCAGGATAGTACTGAAGACCCTGCCTCATCTCGCTCTTGTTTGCCTTATCGTTCAGCACACACCAAATACCCCCACATGCTGGGCCTTCCAAACCTCTCCAGGTTGTGCTCCCCATCCAGAATGGCCCTCTCCACCATAATCCACACCGTCTTTTCTGCCACTCGGGCCATCTGAATTATACCTCCTGTGCCTCCAAGCCTCCCTGGAGCCTCACCTTCTCCAGTCTGTCCTGTACCCTGGCCTCAGGGGGATCTAATCAGATGCCAGATCTGACCAGTCGCTTCCTGCTCACACACCCATTAGCCTCCAGCACCAGCTTCCCAGCCCATTTTGGAAGACTTGAGTGATCTGCTCCAGTCCAGAACTCCGTCAAAATGCCTCTCTCCTCCATCTCCTACATGTTCAACATTCTAACCTCACAGAACTTCACTCACTTACTGGGAAAAAACATTTTCTCTCTCTGCTCTGCTTCTTTCTACCAGATGCTCTCTCTGCCTCAAACATTCTTCCCTCATCCTATTAGTCTCTGCTTGGATGCCACCTCCTTCCCACCAATCCTCTGAATTGTATCCATCCAGTTACAAGCCCCTTCAGAGGAGGGACCCCACTGGTCACTGATAGACTGCTAAGCAAATTTTTATAGAATGAATGAGTGACACAGTCAGAGGATGGGTGAATGAATGACTGAATGGTTGGATGGATGGAAGGGTGGGTGGGTAGGTGGGTGGATGGATGAAGGAGTGAATTCCTTTTCTAGGTGTTGAACAGATTTGACACAGAATGGTCAGTGGCCCAGAAAGAAGTATCTGAAACTCAAATGATGTCAGTTTTCCCCGAGATGTGACTCACCATCTACACACACACATACTCCCCAGGAATTGGCCAATTGTGTGCATGGTCACCCGTCCAGTCATTCTCGTGTTCAGCACAAGTTTTCTGCCACCCTTCTGCACCCAACCCATGCTGGGCGATGCTGAGGACCCAGAGACGGCTCAGCTCCACACCCTGCCTGGAGGAGTTCCAGGTGGAGTGGAAAAGGAAGAGGAGACATCCCATGCAATTATCAAGAAGGTAGAAAGGTGTGCCAGGAATGAAGAGAGGCACAGATAAAGGGCTCTGGAAGTCAAGACAGGCTTCCAGGAAGAGGCAGCACTGGAGAGGAAGGTGCCCTTTCCTTTCTGGCTTGGGACTCCAGGCTAGGCACGCCAGAGATCTTTCTGACACACAGATCTGTCCAATGGCTGTCCCGCTCAGACACCTACTATGGCTCCCTAACAGCCCCAGGATAAAACACGAGCTCGTTCACTCTGTACACGGGTGTCCTGAGCCCAGCTCCTGTCTCGTTGCCTACCTCTCCCCACACCATCATCTTCACTCCAGACACCAGGTCACCTGACTGCATCTGGCAAACCCCTACCCATCCTTCAAAGCCCAGCTTCGCCAGTGCCTCCTCCAGGAAGCCTTCCTCAAAATGCGTCCCTAGCTGAGCACTCGCTCTCCCATCCTTGGGTCCAGCTCCCCTCCAATCCTGACTGCTCGAGCCCAGGAAAGTCGGCAGCTGGGCTACCTCTCTCACCTCTCCCATACAAAGGAGATGGTCCTGTCTACCCTGGAGGAGGTCATCTAAGCAAAGTCCTGACCCTGACAGGGTGCCCAGCAGGAGGCTCTCAACCACCACGGTTGAGAGCTTGGCCTCTGGGCTGGCCAGATCTGGGTTCAAATCCCCACCCTGCCACTAACTCATTATATAAATTTGGGCATGTTACCAGTCTCCCTCTCCATTTTCCCATCTACCTGAAGGGAACTAGAACAATCCTATTAGTAATGTATACAATTATCAACAAATCTCTAGGTTGTATGTCTAAAACCAATATAATACTATATATCAACTATATTCCAATAAAAAAGTAAAATGTTTAAAATTTAAATTAAAAAAATTTTAAGTTAAATGTAGAATTACCATGTGACCCCACCATTCTACTCCTAGGTGTCCATCCAAGATAAATGAAAATGTATGTCTACATCAAAACTTGTACACACACGCTCCTAGCAATGTAGTTCAAAACAGCCAAAAAGTAGAAATGATCCAAGTGTTCACTGGTAGATGAATGGATAAACAAATGGTGGCATGACCATACATCCACACAAAGGAATATTACTCAGCCTTTAAAAGGAATGCAGTGCTGACACATGGTACCATGTGGATGAACCTCAAAAACATGCTAAGTGAAAGAAGTCAGCCACAAAAAAACCATGTTTTGGTCTAATTCCTTTCCTATGATCTCTCCAGAGCAGACAAACCCATAGAGATGGAAAATAAATTATTAGTATTTACCAAGAGCTGTAGAGAGGGAAGAATAGGAAGTGATTCTTTAATAGGTACAGGCTGTTTTATGGGGTCATGAAAAAATTTTGAAACTAGGGAGAGCCAACGGTTGTGCAACATTGTGAATGCATGAAACACCTGACACTTCCAAATTGTGCACTTTAAAAATGGTTAATTATACTGTTAGTGAATTTCATCTCAATAGAAGAAATGAGTGTTTAAAGACAAGCTGTAATTACATGCCTATATACCATGCCTTGTCCTCTGTGAATTATTTTTACTTACATTCTCCCATTAATGCTCTCTATCCCAAATGCCCATTGGAAGATGAAGAAACAGAGGTTCCGAGAAGAACCGTGCCTTCCTCAGGGCTCTTTGGCTGTGCCCGTTTAAGGCCGGAGCAGCAGGTGTGGCCCCCAAGGGTGGTGGGACCTGCTGGAACTAGCGGGTCTGACTCCAGGCTGCCTCTCCTGACTCACAGGATCCCCCCTCCCCAGCCGGGAGCCCACCATCTGGCCCCTCTGGTGGTGGAGGCATTATAAGTGCTGCTTGTTCTGCGTGAGGGGAGGGGAGAGGGAGAAAGAGGCCTGAGCACCTACTAAGTGCCAAGCCCAGGCTGGGGTGCTATTTCCTGGTCTACTTGGAGTCTCACAACCATGCAGGATGATACTCAGGAAACTGATGCTCTGAAGAGGAGGATATGGGAGGAAGAGGAGAGAAGGAAAGAAAGGATATGGAAAAAGCAAAGAAACCCTTTTGGACATTATATTATTGAGTCTTTAAATCATTCCATTTGACAGACGGGAAACTGAGGCCCTGAGAGGCTGGGTGAATTTCTGGGTCACACAAGTACGCTCCAGCCAGGATTCAAACCCAGCCCACCCAAGTTCCAGCCCAGGGCCCTTCCCACAACTTGCCACCCATGCCTTGGGAGAGTGGCCCTTACTAGGTGCTAGGTTTGGTTTCCCCCTTCATGCCATGGGAATGGGCTTCCCTCACAAATACAATAACGGGGGTGGGGGGCAAAGAGGCATAGGAAGGCATCACTGGGAAAGGGGGGGATGGCCACCCCTTCCTTTTTTCACAGTTCGTGTGGGGCAGCCTTAAAGGTAGTCTCCAGACATACGTTTATAGAGCCCCAAGCTGGGGCCAGAGATTCTAATCCTGTCCCTCCTCTCTTAAATGTCCCTGATGCCTCTGGAGGTACCCGGCTACATGTGAGGCCATGCTGAAGATTCAGAGCCCTACTTGTAAGAAATATAGAGCTGGACACAGACACGCTCAGCCCTAAAGGGTAAAGACTAAGCACGGAAAAAGCCAGAGGAAAGGGCTAGGGTCTCTCTGCAGCACCCAGGAAGGCTTCCTAGAGAAGGGGTCACTGGAGCTGGGTATTGAAGGCTGATCAAGAGTTTGCCAAGCACATATGGGAGTCCTACGCCTTGAAACAGGTGTGGACTGCAGAAGGGAGAAGCAATCCTTCTACGTCTCTCTTTCTGCCAGTCAGGGTCAGTGCAGATGAAAAGAGAAGACTAGACTGGGATGGTCACAGTGGGAGTGTCAAATGATGGGGATGCCATGGCTTAGAATTGAGCAACAACCCCTTAATAAACTCTTGGGTAAACAGCTGCCTATCCCAACATGTTTGGCTCTGACTTCCAGGTACGTGGACATCCTCTCAAAGTTCCTAGGACTCTTAGACATTGTCACAACTTTTCCCATGCATTCCCACTATCTGTATATCCCTTTCTGTTTTGGTGAACTCCTATTCATCCTTCAAAACCCTACTCAGATGGCCCTTCCTCTAGGTAGCCCACCTACCTAGAAGCCCAGGTGGGCTCTGGGAATTAAGGGTTTACCCATCACTCAGAAGCCAGCCTACCTACCTGAGGCGCTTACCACAGGCTTGATGTAGTCAGGATGCACAAGAACCAACAGTGGCAGGATAGGTCCCATCCACACCAGGATTACATGATGCATGTTGTCCAGCACCTTCTTCTCATCTTGGAGGCCTGTCTCATTTGGGAGATACTGCAAGGGGCAGCAGGGAAGGACAGTGAGGAGATGTCCAATACCAGCTTCCCCCTGCCCTTTCCTCCTGCCACCTCCCCTGCCCTCAAAACAGGCCGAGAAGAGCTGTGGGCAGTTGCCTCAACCGCTCTGTGCCTCCATTTCCTCATCTGCAAAGTAGAGAAGAATCGACTCTCCATCTGACAGCAGTTGAGAAGATTCACAGAATAGCAAAGCAAGAGACCCTCAGCAGCGAGCCTGACACATGGCTGGTGTTCAAGAAATAAACATAATAACAGGAAATACAATAATGATGATGGTGGTGGGCATTTATCAAGAACTCACTATGTCAGTAATGAGCTATCACTAGTGCTGCTATCCTCAACACACACACATGCCTGTGGTGTCAGGAGCTGCCTTGGGCACCTTCCACATGGCCATACATCCAGCCCACACGAGAACTCTGTCACCAACTCACTACTGTTTTTCCCACTGCACTCTGCCCAGAAAGGCTGAATGACTTGCCTGAAGTTACACACGAGTAAGCGACTGTCCTGGTCTGGGCTGCCCAGAAGCAGGCCCTGGGACAAGAGCTCTAGGGCAGATGGTTTATTTGGGGGCGACCCCCAGATGCATGTATAAGAAAGTGGGGAAGTGAAACAGGGAGTGTGGGCAGCCAGTAAAGAGTGAAATGTCAAGGAAGTTACTGCCCCAGGCACCTGATGCTCATTCCCACTGGGGACACATATCTCAGAGTCAACCCCCTCAAGGGTGAGTGAACTGGGTGTTTTTACACCCACTCCCAGGTCCCATACTCACTGGCTGAGGGCCACTCCTGGGGCATTCACAAGCTCACAGTATGCACAGGCAGAGTAGGCTCCAGCTGCCACAGAAAGCCCTAGAATGCAGGGGCTGGAAGCCGGAAGTTGGACCATCCCATCCAGAAATGGGCCAAGAGTATATGGGCAAGGCCTGGCATCAGCTGCCACCATGGCAAAGGCTGGATTTGAACATAGGCCACCAAGCTCCAAAATGCCTGCTCTTAACTAACATGACGCAGAAGCACTTCCAGCTCAATGTCAGAAGGATCAGAGCTTAAATCCACTCCCAGCTGCTGTGTGGCTTTGGGCAAGCCACTTAACCTTTCTGAACGCCAAAGAGCAAATCGTTAACACAGGGAAGATTCATCCCTATCCCCAGGCTGTGAGAATCAGGGGAGGGCACAGATGTTAAGGGTCCCTAATCCAATGCATGGCCAATGGTGGGCCCAGCGGTTGTCAACTGAATGAACGAATAAGGGACTCCTCTCTGATTCCTGTGTGTCCTTCCTGATCAGATTCAGCCCTAAGCCTGTCCACACCCAAGGGAGAGCATGACCTCACCGGGATCTCATGGCCCCACAAGGTGGGCTGGGCCCACAGGGCCCACGCTGGGCTTCAGAATCCAGCCTGGCCAACTGCCCCAGGCACCAGGGCCTTGTTGCCAAATCCAGGACCACCATCAGAGCCAGAGGGCTTCCTGGAGCAAGGACAGTGGATATGAGGCAGGAAAGGAAGAAGCTGGTCCAAGAGAGGATGCTCTGGGCAGAGGGCACTGCCAGAGCAAAGGCTGCAAAGGTAGGCAGGCAGGCGGAGCCTCGTCAGCTGTGCCCCAGCATGCTCAGGAGCCCGCGGATGACAGACACAGGGCCTGCCTCCTGGGATGGTCAAGAGGATCGAATGAGTTAACACAGTCGGCCCTGAACAACACAGGCGTGAGCTAGGTGGGAGCCCCGGCACGTGGATTTGTTTTTCAATAAACGATATTGGAAAGTGTTTTTGGAGATTTGTGACAGTTTGAAAAATAACATTTTTGTTTCTCTATTAACATAGATTAAAGGCTATTAGTAGTTAAGTTTTGGGGGTGTCAAAAGCTCTACACGGATGTTTGCCTGGATGAGAGGTTGGTGCCCCTAACCATCACTCTGTCCAAGGGTCAGCTGTATTTATAAAGCTCCTGAAATAATACCTGGCACATGCATGTGAAATAAAACCTGAAATGCAAATGGAGAGCTAAGGTCCTGACCTAGGATCACAGCACTAAAGACAATGAGAGAGAGTCTGGAACCACGTGGATGGTGGGGATGGAGCAACAACATTTACAGGGGTGCCCTGTGACTCCACTCCGGGATCCCAAAACCTGATGAACTGTGCAGGCACTGGACCCTGTTGCTACAGCAATAGCCTGGGATTACAGAGAGAACTTTACAGTCAGCTTTGCCTCACCCCAGCTGGGTGACCTGGGGTAAACTGCTTGCCCTCTCGGAGGTCCAGTCTCACTTATATCCTGTAAAATGGGTCTGTTTATGGCTCCAACTAGATTCTTGGGGAGATGAGGGAAGTCAGCAGGTCCATCATCCTTACTGAATCCCTGGGACCTGCCCACCCGGCCCGCCTGCCCCACCATACACACCATGCCCAGGTGGCCCAGCAGCCAGTTGCGCCGGGGCGGCTGGGGAAAGCAGCTCAGCTGGCGGCAGGTGTTGTAGAAGTGCCAGCAGAGGCTCAAGAACTTCAGCAGCAGGCGGGAGACAAAGAAGAGCACGGAGAGCAGAAGCACAGACACAGCGTACAGACGGAACGAGGTCTTCTCCAGTCCCAGGAGGAGCAGCAGGTGTTCCGCAACGGGCAGCATCCTGGGGGACACCCGAGATGGGGGTGAGTGCAGGTGGGAGCCCACCCTCCAGCCATGCACGCCATACACACAAGTGGTCTGTGGAGTCAAGTACGGTGTGCCTGGCACACAGTAGGTCGCCAATACACATGAGTCCCAGGGGCCCCTACTTCCCCCATTAGTGACCAGCCAGCTAGCCAGACGGATGCCCCAGTGTCCTGCCCATTAGGCCCGAGGCCTTGGCTTTGTGGGGCACCCCTCCTGACTTCTCTGCCCACACAGTGCTGGCCAGAGTGCTGGAAAAGTAAGCCTCACCCCTCCCTTGAAAGCAGCTCTCGGCCAATGACTGGGATAAATACCTTCTTCCTTCTGGTGCGGTGATTCTGAGGTCTGGGTTCCCCTGAGGGACTAAACTCCAGCCGCCCACAGTAGAAACTTTCTGTATTAGCTGCCTCCCTTCTGCTGTTTTACTTCCCTCTTCTTCTTCTTTCTTAAATTGAGGTGAAACTGACATACCACAAATTTTAAAGTGAACAGTCCAGTGGCATCTAGACATTCACGATGTAGTGCCACCACCACATCTGTCTAGTTCCAAAGTGTTTTCATCACCCCTGAAGGAGACCCCGCCCCCATCAGCTGTCACTCCCCATCTCCCATACCTTCGAAACCCCCGCGGCAACCACTTTCTGTGTCTACGGATGTGCCTGTTCTGGACATTTCATAGACAGGATCACACAACATGTAGCCTTTTGTGACTGACATCTCTCACCCAGCACAATGTTCTCAAGGTTCACCCACGTTGTAGTATCTATCAGAGCTCCATCCCTTGTACCGCTGAGTAATATTCCATTGTAAGGATATATCACAATTTGATTATCCATGGATCTGTCAGTGGACCTTGGGCTGTTTCCACCTTTCGCCTGTGCTGCTGGGAACGTGCTGCTGTGAAGTGTGCTGCTGGGAACGTGCACATGCATGTATTTGTTTTGAGTCCACTTTCAATTCTTTGGGGTTCGCTTCCTTCTTCCTTACTGTGTCTGTGATCACTTCCCAAGTAAACTACTTGCACTAAAATCCAAAACAACATGGGTGGTAAAGCCCCTGAAATAATACTTGGTACGTACATGTGCAATTGTAAACCTTCCTGTACTTGCTTCTACATGCCAGACCTCACACCAGTTGTTCTACATCCATTTCTTCAGCAATTATTACTGAACCCCTGCTCTCTACGTATGTGACCCTGCTCTAGGCATGGGGCTGTAATGGCGAGCAGGACAGACACGTTGCCAGCCCTTAGAGGGGGTGACCACCCACAGGCATGATGAAACATATAAAGGCTACATGTCATGAAGGAGGTAAAGCAGGGGTAGAGGTGGCTGAAGAGGGGGCTCCTCCCCAAGGATACTGGGTCCTAATCTCTGAAATTTGGGAATGTGAGCCCTTACCGCAGTCTTTGCAGATGGGATTAAGTGAACGATCTAGAGATGGTGAGATTATCCTGGACTGTCTAGGTCGATCCTAACTGGAGTCATAAACGTTCTTATGAGAGAGAGGCAGAGGGAGATTCCACACGCCGGGGTGGGGGAATCCATGCGAAGACAGGGGCAGGGGTGGCAGTAACTGAGGCCCTGAGAGGCTGGGTGAATTTCTGGGTCACACAAGTACGCTCCAGCCAGGATTCAAACCCAGCCCACCCAAGTTCCAGCCCAGGGCCCTTCCCACAACTTGCCACCCATGCCTTGGGAGAGTGGCCCTTACTAGGTGCTAGGTTTGGTTTCCCCCTTCATGCCATGGGAATGGGCTTCCCTCACAAATACAATAACGGGGGTGGGGGGCAAAGAGGCATAGGAAGGCATCACTGGGAAAGGGGGGGATGGCCACCCCTTCCTTTTTTCACAGTTCGTGTGGGGCAGCCTTAAAGGTAGTCTCCAGACATATGTTTATAGAGCCCCAAGCTGGGGCCAGAGATTCTAATCCTGTCCCTCCTCTCTTAAATGTCCCTGATGCCTCTGGAGGTACCCGGCTACATGTGAGGCCATGCTGAAGATTCAGAGCCCTACTTGTAAGAAATATAGAGCTGGACACAGACACGCTCAGCCCTAAAGGGTAAAGACTAAGCACGGAAAAAGCCAGAGGAAAGGGCTAGGGTCTCTCTGCAGCACCCAGGAAGGCTTCCTAGAGAAGGGGTCACTGGAGCTGGGTATTGAAGGCTGATCAAGAGTTTGCCAAGCACATATGGGAGTCCTACGCCTTGAAACAGGTGTGGACTGCAGAAGGGAGAAGCAATCCTTCTACGTCTCTCTTTCTGCCAGTCAGGGTCAGTGCAGATGAAAAGAGAAGACTAGACTGGGATGGTCACAGTGGGAGTGTCAAATGATGGGGATGCCATGGCTTAGAATTGAGCAACAACCCCTTAATAAACTCTTGGGTAAACAGCTGCCTATCCCAACATGTTTGGCTCTGACTTCCAGGTACGTGGACATCCTCTCAAAGTTCCTAGGACTCTTAGACATTGTCACAACTTTTCCCATGCATTCCCACTATCTGTATATCCCTTTCTGTTTTGGTGAACTCCTATTCATCCTTCAAAACCCTACTCAGATGGCCCTTCCTCTAGGTAGCCCACCTACCTAGAAGCCCAGGTGGGCTCTGGGAATTAAGGGTTTACCCATCACTCAGAAGCCAGCCTACCTACCTGAGGCGCTTACCACAGGCTTGATGTAGTCAGGATGCACAAGAACCAACAGTGGCAGGATAGGTCCCATCCACACCAGGATTACATGATGCATGTTGTCCAGCACCTTCTTCTCATCTTGGAGGCCTGTCTCATTTGGGAGATACTGCAAGGGGCAGCAGGGAAGGACAGTGAGGAGATGTCCAATACCAGCTTCCCCCTGCCCTTTCCTCCTGCCACCTCCCCTGCCCTCAAAACAGGCCGAGAAGAGCTGTGGGCAGTTGCCTCAACCGCTCTGTGCCTCCATTTCCTCATCTGCAAAGTAGAGAAGAATCGACTCTCCATCTGACAGCAGTTGAGAAGATTCACAGAATAGCAAAGCAAGAGACCCTCAGCAGCGAGCCTGACACATGGCTGGTGTTCAAGAAATAAACATAATAACAGGAAATACAATAATGATGATGGTGGTGGGCATTTATCAAGAACTCACTATGTCAGTAATGAGCTATCACTAGTGCTGCTATCCTCAACACACACACATGCCTGTGGTGTCAGGAGCTGCCTTGGGCACCTTCCACATGGCCATACATCCAGCCCACACGAGAACTCTGTCACCAACTCACTACTGTTTTTCCCACTGCACTCTGCCCAGAAAGGCTGAATGACTTGCCTGAAGTTACACACGAGTAAGCGACTGTCCTGGTCTGGGCTGCCCAGAAGCAGGCCCTGGGACAAGAGCTCTAGGGCAGATGGTTTATTTGGGGGCGACCCCCAGATGCATGTATAAGAAAGTGGGGAAGTGAAACAGGGAGTGTGGGCAGCCAGTAAAGAGTGAAATGTCAAGGAAGTTACTGCCCCAGGCACCTGATGCTCATTCCCACTGGGGACACATATCTCAGAGTCAACCCCCTCAAGGGTGAGTGAACTGGGTGTTTTTACACCCACTCCCAGGTCCCATACTCACTGGCTGAGGGCCACTCCTGGGGCATTCACAAGCTCACAGTATGCACAGGCAGAGTAGGCTCCAGCTGCCACAGAAAGCCCTAGAATGCAGGGGCTGGAAGCCGGAAGTTGGACCATCCCATCCAGAAATGGGCCAAGAGTATATGGGCAAGGCCTGGCATCAGCTGCCACCATGGCAAAGGCTGGATTTGAACATAGGCCACCAAGCTCCAAAATGCCTGCTCTTAACTAACATGACGCAGAAGCACTTCCAGCTCAATGTCAGAAGGATCAGAGCTTAAATCCACTCCCAGCTGCTGTGTGGCTTTGGGCAAGCCACTTAACCTTTCTGAACGCCAAAGAGCAAATCGTTAACACAGGGAAGATTCATCCCTATCCCCAGGCTGTGAGAATCAGGGGAGGGCACAGATGTTAAGGGTCCCTAATCCAATGCATGGCCAATGGTGGGCCCAGCGGTTGTCAACTGAATGAACGAATAAGGGACTCCTCTCTGATTCCTGTGTGTCCTTCCTGATCAGATTCAGCCCTAAGCCTGTCCACACCCAAGGGAGAGCATGACCTCACCGGGATCTCATGGCCCCACAAGGTGGGCTGGGCCCACAGGGCCCACGCTGGGCTTCAGAATCCAGCCTGGCCAACTGCCCCAGGCACCAGGGCCTTGTTGCCAAATCCAGGACCACCATCAGAGCCAGAGGGCTTCCTGGAGCAAGGACAGTGGATATGAGGCAGGAAAGGAAGAAGCTGGTCCAAGAGAGGATGCTCTGGGCAGAGGGCACTGCCAGAGCAAAGGCTGCAAAGGTAGGCAGGCAGGCGGAGCCTCGTCAGCTGTGCCCCAGCATGCTCAGGAGCCCGCGGATGACAGACACAGGGCCTGCCTCCTGGGATGGTCAAGAGGATCGAATGAGTTAACACAGTCGGCCCTGAACAACACAGGCGTGAGCTAGGTGGGAGCCCCGGCACGTGGATTTGTTTTTCAATAAACGATATTGGAAAGTGTTTTTGGAGATTTGTGACAGTTTGAAAAATAACATTTTTGTTTCTCTATTAACATAGATTAAAGGCTATTAGTAGTTAAGTTTTGGGGGTGTCAAAAGCTCTACACGGATGTTTGCCTGGATGAGAGGTTGGTGCCCCTAACCATCACTCTGTCCAAGGGTCAGCTGTATTTATAAAGCTCCTGAAATAATACCTGGCACATGCATGTGAAATAAAACCTGAAATGCAAATGGAGAGCTAAGGTCCTGACCTAGGATCACAGCACTAAAGACAATGAGAGAGAGTCTGGAACCACGTGGATGGTGGGGATGGAGCAACAACATTTACAGGGGTGCCCTGTGACTCCACTCCGGGATCCCAAAACCTGATGAACTGTGCAGGCACTGGACCCTGTTGCTACAGCAATAGCCTGGGATTACAGAGAGAACTTTACAGTCAGCTTTGCCTCACCCCAGCTGGGTGACCTGGGGTAAACTGCTTGCCCTCTCGGAGGTCCAGTCTCACTTATATCCTGTAAAATGGGTCTGTTTATGGCTCCAACTAGATTCTTGGGGAGATGAGGGAAGTCAGCAGGTCCATCATCCTTACTGAATCCCTGGGACCTGCCCACCCGGCCCGCCTGCCCCACCATACACACCATGCCCAGGTGGCCCAGCAGCCAGTTGCGCCGGGGCGGCTGGGGAAAGCAGCTCAGCTGGCGGCAGGTGTTGTAGAAGTGCCAGCAGAGGCTCAAGAACTTCAGCAGCAGGCGGGAGACAAAGAAGAGCACGGAGAGCAGAAGCACAGACACAGCGTACAGACGGAACGAGGTCTTCTCCAGTCCCAGGAGGAGCAGCAGGTGTTCCGCAACGGGCAGCATCCTGGGGGACACCCGAGATGGGGGTGAGTGCAGGTGGGAGCCCACCCTCCAGCCATGCACGCCATACACACAAGTGGTCTGTGGAGTCAAGTACGGTGTGCCTGGCACACAGTAGGTCGCCAATACACATGAGTCCCAGGGGCCCCTACTTCCCCCATTAGTGACCAGCCAGCTAGCCAGACGGATGCCCCAGTGTCCTGCCCATTAGGCCCGAGGCCTTGGCTTTGTGGGGCACCCCTCCTGACTTCTCTGCCCACACAGTGCTGGCCAGAGTGCTGGAAAAGTAAGCCTCACCCCTCCCTTGAAAGCAGCTCTCGGCCAATGACTGGGATAAATACCTTCTTCCTTCTGGTGCGGTGATTCTGAGGTCTGGGTTCCCCTGAGGGACTAAACTCCAGCCGCCCACAGTAGAAACTTTCTGTATTAGCTGCCTCCCTTCTGCTGTTTTACTTCCCTCTTCTTCTTCTTTCTTAAATTGAGGTGAAACTGACATACCACAAATTTTAAAGTGAACAGTCCAGTGGCATCTAGACATTCACGATGTAGTGCCACCACCACATCTGTCTAGTTCCAAAGTGTTTTCATCACCCCTGAAGGAGACCCCGCCCCCATCAGCTGTCACTCCCCATCTCCCATACCTTCGAAACCCCCGCGGCAACCACTTTCTGTGTCTACGGATGTGCCTGTTCTGGACATTTCATAGACAGGATCACACAACATGTAGCCTTTTGTGACTGACATCTCTCACCCAGCACAATGTTCTCAAGGTTCACCCACGTTGTAGTATCTATCAGAGCTCCATCCCTTGTACCGCTGAGTAATATTCCATTGTAAGGATATATCACAATTTGATTATCCATGGATCTGTCAGTGGACCTTGGGCTGTTTCCACCTTTCGCCTGTGCTGCTGGGAACGTGCTGCTGTGAAGTGTGCTGCTGGGAACGTGCACATGCATGTATTTGTTTTGAGTCCACTTTCAATTCTTTGGGGTTCGCTTCCTTCTTCCTTACTGTGTCTGTGATCACTTCCCAAGTAAACTACTTGCACTAAAATCCAAAACAACATGGGTGGTAAAGCCCCTGAAATAATACTTGGTACGTACATGTGCAATTGTAAACCTTCCTGTACTTGCTTCTACATGCCAGACCTCACACCAGTTGTTCTACATCCATTTCTTCAGCAATTATTACTGAACCCCTGCTCTCTACGTATGTGACCCTGCTCTAGGCATGGGGCTGTAATGGCGAGCAGGACAGACACGTTGCCAGCCCTTAGAGGGGGTGACCACCCACAGGCATGATGAAACATATAAAGGCTACATGTCATGAAGGAGGTAAAGCAGGGGTAGAGGTGGCTGAAGAGGGGGCTCCTCCCCAAGGATACTGGGTCCTAATCTCTGAAATTTGGGAATGTGAGCCCTTACCGCAGTCTTTGCAGATGGGATTAAGTGAACGATCTAGAGATGGTGAGATTATCCTGGACTGTCTAGGTCGATCCTAACTGGAGTCATAAACGTTCTTATGAGAGAGAGGCAGAGGGAGATTCCACACGCCGGGGTGGGGGAATCCATGCGAAGACAGGGGCAGGGGTGGCAGTAACGCAGGCACAAGCCAGGGGGTGCCTGGACCTCTAGAAGCTGTAAGCGTCAAGGAACAGATTCTCCCCTAGACCCTCCAGAAGGAGGATGACCCTGCCAACACCTGGATTTCAGATTTCTGGTACTCAGAACTGGGAGAGAATAAATGTGTATTGTTTTAAGCCACCCAGTTTGCAGTCATCTGTTAGAGCAGCCACAGGAAACTCACACACCAGAGTAGGAAGATGGAGACCAATTCTTTTGGATGAAATGGCCCAGGACGGCCTCTCTGGGAGGGGTACCTGGACAGAGACCTGAGTGAAGGACATACATTAACTGGCTGGATGACCTGGTCCTCAGTTTTCCTACCTGAAACTGGAGGTGACTATCTCCAGACCTCCCAGGCGTGACCTTTCCTGCATGTGGCCCAGGGGAATCACCATCTTGACAGGCCCCAGACTCCTGGGGTTGGGGAGTGGTGGGGGAGTCAACAGAGGCAACAGGGGGCCACATGGGACACCTCCAGCCCTTGGGCAGCCTGGCCACAGTCTGGCTCCCATCCCAACCACCCCAGTCACCTTTTAGAAGGCCAGGTGCTCCCCTGCTCTAACACCCTCCATGGCTCCCCAGTGCCCTCAGTTTGGCATCCACTTTAGCCACATAGATTCCCCTTCTTGGTCTGTTTTGTACCCTCTTTCTTCACTCAGTCTATAAATGCTGGAGCCCCTTAGAGCTTGGGCCTGAGTCCTGTTCACACAGCCTGGGGACCTCGCCCGGCCCACGGCTTCCACGACCCCACAGCTAAGATGCCTCCTCTGCGTCAGTCGCCCTGCTGACAGGCCCAGCAGCCTCTCCCAGGGGCACCTCCCAGACCTTCAGATCCACCTCACCGCCTTCCTCCCTCTTTCTCCCCACATCCAGTCCCTTCCCAAGTCCTGCCAGTTGCCGAAACTCACCACTTTCCTCGTCCGTTTATTTTTCCCCACTCCCACCCCACCCACCCCATGTCAGGCAGCCTCCTCCCACTGGTCTCCCACATTCAATCCTGGCCCCTCCGGCAGTCCATTCTCCACATAGCAGCCAGAGACATAGTCCTAAAAATTAAATCAGATCACGACTTGCCCCTGCCCAAAACCTTCTCACGACCCCTCATTACACTCCGCTTACAATTCAGATTCCTTCCCATGGCCCACAACTCCCTGTGTGGCCTGGCCCCTGCTGACCCCTCCAGCCCTGTCTCCCACCCCCACTCTCCACCCCGCACCCTCGACTCCAGCCACTCCGGCCACAGGCCGAGTTCATTCCCACCTCAGAGCCTTCTGAACATGCTGTTCCCTCCACCCAACATCCCTTTCCCCCTGCTCTGCCCATGCAGGCTCCCCCTCATCCTGCAGGCATAGCTGTACCTCAATGCTCTGCTCTTTGCCAGTCAGCCGTCTCCTTTCCTTCACTCTCAAAGGAATTATTGAGCACCTGCCACATGCAGTGGCTTCCCCCATCTTCCCGGTAGCCCTCAGAAGGAGTGGGGGGACTTCCAAGTGGTCAGAACAGGAGCCCCACACACGCACAGGACAATCCCATCTGATTGTCCTGTGTGCCCCACCCCCAGCTGTGGCCAGAAACCACGTCTCTGCCTCTACTTGGACTGCAGGCACTGGAAATGTCTTCCTGAAGTAGTGTAATGGGCAGAATGTGGAACAAGAGAAGGTGCCAGCCCTGGAAAAGAGGATTCTGTTCTGGGTGGAGGGGTACACAGAGGACCAGAAAGGGGAATGCATGAAGCCCTCGGGGCTGTGAGGTGGTGGTTGAGTCTAGTCCCTACCTTCAGCTTCACAGAATCTGTGAACTGGGTTAATACCAGCAGGACCTATTTCTTAAGGTTGGTTGGGACATTTCGGTAAGATGAGGTTTGGCAAGTAACATGCAAAATTTAGCCATTGTTCTTACTGCTACAATAACTATTTCATTGGAGCAAGAGAAACTCCAAGCTGACATTCCCGGGATGCTCTGGAAGGCTGGCATGGCCACTCCTCCGCACCAGATGCCCAGCAAGGCTCCCAGTAGCCCGCCCAGGCAGAAGTGGCCTGCCTGCCCTGCCAGGGTAGGTGTTATCTGGAGATGGAGTGTCAGCGAGTGGCTCTGTGGCCCACGCCCAGGAGCGCTGGTTTGTCAGGTTAGCCTAGCCAGTAGTCGCCAGTCAGGGACTTGTCATACAAGGTGTGCTTGCTCTTGAGAAGGAATCCAGCGCACAGACCGAGCCCCATCTCCCCCGCCCCCAGCTGGCCAGAAACCACATCTCTGCCTCTACTTGGACTGCAGCACTGGATTTGTTGATGGTCTGGCAACCAGGACTCAGCCCCCCTGCCCAACCTCCCAGCTGTGCTCGCCCTCTGGGGCCCTACAGTCAGCACAGCCTGCCGCTGTCCTGGCCCATGCCACCACTTCAGATCCCTCTATGCCAAAGGGCTGCCCCACCCAAGACTCCTATTTTTCCAAAGTGCCAGGACCCAGAAGGCCTGAGCTGAGAGGGGAGATTAGCCCCCAAATGTCTAGGGTTCTGAGAAAGAGCTTCGGGAGCAGTTTCTGAGGGTAGGGCCAAGCTTGCAAAACGGGCTGGGGAGAGGGCAGACTCACCACAGCTCTCAGCATATTAATAGGCTTTTGCCTATTATAGCTTCCTTGGCCCAAAGGAGATTCTGGCAGAAAAAGTTTAAAAACCACAAGTAGTCTAGATCATTCCAGGGCTGCGATCATCTCTGCCCACCGTGCCAACCAAGGGTGGCCACACTAGGACGTGAGCCCCAGAAATGATTCTAAAAAGCTCCACCTCTTACCTGTGTGACCTCAGGCTAGTGTCTGAACCTCTCCAAGCCTCAATTTCCCCATTGGTAAGACAGGAACTGTATTACCCGCTTCATGAGGCTGAGATGACAGTGAAACATTTTTAATGTGTTTAGTCAGGGCTTGGCGTACAGTAAGCCTTGATCAGAGGTACCTCTCATTTGTACTGGTGCTGCCATCGTATTCATTATTGCAACCAGCCATCTGGGATTTGGAGAATCTGGGCCAAATTCTCTGGCTTGCCAGGGAAGAGAGCTAGGGTCCCATTTTCTGAATGCCTTCTAAGTCATCCAAGCCCCTCTGCAGATACCAGCCCAGGTCACCGCCGATACCAGCGCAGAGCTAATGTTACCTCTCCGAAACCCAAGCTGAGCTACACAGAGAAGCTGGGGCCATCGGAAAGTGCCCAGGATTTGGGGGTCAGACAGGGCTAGTTTGTGCAAATCCCAGCTCCCCGACTGTCTCTCTGTCTCCCTCCCACCTCCAGCCTGAGGGTCCCCAGCTGGTGGGTCTCAGCTGCCTTGTGTGGTCCAGGCTGGCCAGCTACTCATTGGCCCCAGGGACCCCAGGGAGCCTCACCCCTACAGCATCCAACAGACATCGGCTGGGGCAGCTGTAGGACCTCACGCAACCCTCACAGACAGCGCTGGGTACCCAGCAGGACATCCTCTTTTCCTTAGCAGGGCACGGAGAGGCTCTGCGTCTGCCATGGGAGGGCAGAAGGGCCCAGAGGGCAGCCTCACCACCAGCTTAGAGTCCACGGGTGGACCACAAAGCCACCCCTTCAAGACAATACAGAGTGATGGCATCCCGGTGACCCTAATCAGCCCTCGGGAGGCATCACAGGGCAGGGCTTGCATCTGTCCAAATGTCCTGATGGGGAGGAGGACAGTCTTGGGGCTCCCCTCCCACCACAGATCCCCTGAAAGAATATACCCAGGACGCCCAGGCATGCACAGAATAAACCGTGCTCAAATGCAGTGGCCGTCAGGGACACACCATATTCCCCCCAACCCGAGTGTCCCGGACACACAGCCCCGTCCCGGGTCCCAGGGCTCTCGCGCAGACCCCCTCCCCGCCAGCCCTGGAGCCGGGGCAACTCGAGTTACCGCGCGGGGCTGCGCTCGGGTTACGTCTCCGTCCCATCCCCGGTAAGCACTCACCCAGCGGGCTCCGACCTCCAGCCCTCGATCTTTATCCGCCCGCGCCAAAACCTCGGCTCTGCCCGCGCCGTCTGGCGGCCAGGCCCTTTAACCAGGCCCGGCTGCGCGGCAAGGTCCACCCCGGCCCGCCCGCCTCTGGGTGGGGACCCAGACGTGGCGGCCAGAGCCGGAGCCAATGAGAGAGAGTCACGGAGGGCCAACTGGGGTCTCCTCGAGGGTGGGACCCCGGGATCAGATGGTGCAGGGGGTTCAGAATAAATTCGCAAAACAATGGAACGCTCGCTGTGCTCCAAGCACTCTTCCAGGTGCTGGGAATATGGCCAAAAATAAAAACAGACCAAGTTCCTGTCCTCGCGGACCTGAGGCTTAAGTGGAGAAAGCAGAAAAAAAAAAGAAATGCGTCCATCAGAAAAATGTCCACCAGTGAAGGGATGTAATACAAGGTTTTGTGACGGCATACAGGGGGTGCTGCTGGGTGTCAGGTCTCCAGCTAAAGCCCGAATCATGAGAGTAAATGTTAAATCACATTGTACACCTTTGTAAGCACATCAAATTTTTATTTGACAATTACACCTCAATAAAGCTGGCAAAAAAAAAAAATTGAAGTCTTCCCCACACAGATAATACTCCTGCTGGTTCCCAAAGTCTAATACAAGTGTCCCTAGCTGTTAAGCCTGGTAATTTTTAGATGGCATGTGGTAGAACATTTTCTGTCCATTTCCTATTTTATGTATTCATGTTACCTGAGAGATTTGTCTTGATGCCTAGAAGAAGAAAATATACTTGGCCCATGCATCAAATCCACAGTCTCATGGCCATAATAATGACATAAATTTTGCCTTAAAATAAATAATGTTTGAAAGGAAGACCACCAACAGAAAACTATTAATTAAGTAGTAGAAATATAATTATGTAAAACTATTAAGTAATGGGTAATACGTACGTGGAGCAAAAATGGTTACAGGTGATTGTGAGTGGCAGAAACTTCGAATCAGAAACCATCTGTCGATATTAAGATAAAGATGGAGCAGGAGGCCAATGATTTCTAAACTTGAGTTTTGGAAATATTAGAGCACCAGTCTTTCCAAATTCCAGAGAACAAGCAGCAGAAGGCTCAAAACTTACAGGAGGGGATTTTGAAATAAGGGTAAGATGCCCCACTGGCCCCAGCACAATTTCTTCACCCCTCTTCATCTCAATCATTGCCTGACACACAGTGAGAGTGGGAGGGGCTCGTGTCTCAAGATGCAAGGGAGGTAATACAAATGATTGAGGTTTTGCTGCCTCTTTGCTGTTTGGAGGAGGGAGAAGGAAGGCCAGGGAAGGCGACGTGAAGGATGTGACATTTCATCCAGGACTTCAGGGAGAGGTTAGATTTCAACAGGTGCAGCGGAGGGGGTGGAGCTCGGGCACAGAGAAACCTGAGGGTGTGGCTGGGCAGGTGGCTTTTCCTGGCCTTGGGGTGTCAGAGGAGGGGAGGCAGAAGGGGTGCAAGGGAACTATGTGAGGGGCCTAGAAGGCCAGTCCGAGTGGCTGAGGGTTGGTCTGATGGGTATTAGGGAGCCATGGATGGTGCTTGAGCAGGAAAGGAGCTCCCTTTTGATTGGTTTATTTTAAACACAAACCAGTGGAGCTTAATTGATTTTCATTTTATATTTTTTTAGAAATGAGGAATGGTTAGGGATGTGGAGGATGTCCGAATTGGTGGCTGGCCGGATGTGGGGCCCCAGGAAGCAGAGGAGGAGAAGAGAGGGTGTCAGCCTGGTTTCTCTGCCCCCAGACAAATGGAGATGAGAAAGAAGGAGCCAGTTGAAGGGCCAGGTGAGCGGCTATCCATCACGTGACCTTGGGCAAGCCTCCATCCCTGGGCAGATAAAAAGGAGATGACGAGATGAGGTGGTGTTTGCAGGGTGCTCGGCCGTGCTCAGCACCGGGCTGGACAGGCATCAGCACTTGCAGTTTGCAGTTTGATTTGGAATCTCCCAGTGGTCCCCAGCTACGGCGGACTGCTCCCCAGGGCACATCTGGCAATGTCCAGAGGTACCTTTGGTTGTCACACTCTGGTCGGGGAGGTGCTACAGGTGTCTTGTCAGGAGAGGCCAGGGGTGCTGCGGACCATCCTACAGTTCGTGGAGAGCCCCCACCACAGAGAGCAGTCCAGCCCCAGATGTCAGCACTACTGAGGTGGAGAAAGCCCGAAGTTCCCTTGAACCTAAAAGGCCCATGGGCTGTTCAGAGAGACACTCAGGAGACAGCTGGGCACGTCATGAGAAGCGCCTCTGTGAGTCACCTGCATCAGGAATGCAGTGGCTGCCCCAGGAGGGGATCGGTGAGGTCACTCAGGGAGGAGGCAGCGAGAAGAGAATGGGGAGGCGGAAGCATTGATGACAGCTGCACCGAGAGAGGGCAAGCAGCAGCATGGAGCTGGAGCTGGAGGTGAGCGACGGCTGGGGACTGTCCCTGTGCCCAGAGGTAGGGCAGCTCAGACCCCAGGAAGGGCCAGGGCTGTGCGTTTGACAGGTCGCCAGAGTCTCAATAAACTGAGGTCAGAGAGGGAGCATAAGACGTGGGGGCAGTGGCTGGAGAAGGGAGATGGTCCCAGGAGACCATCTGCAAGTGGGAGAAAGCAGAGTGTGTGAAGGGCTTTTCCCAGAGCTCCAAAGCCACAGCCGACTTCTAGGGGCAGAGATAAAAAAGAAGACTGATCACCCCATAAGCTGTGAGGGTGTAAAATGGTGCAGCCACTTCAGGAAACAGCCTGGAGGTCCCTCTAAAAAGCTAAACCATATGACCCAGCAATTCCGCTCCTGACTATAGACCCAAAACAATCAAACACAGGGAGTCAAACAGACACATGTATGCGCATGTTCATAATAGTGATATTCATAATCGCCAGAAGGTGGAAAGAGCCCAAGCATCCATCAAACAGATAAACAAATAAATAAATGTGGTCCTTCCATGCAGTGGAAGATTACTCCGCCATAAAGCATGAATGAAGCTCTGACACATGCTACGACGTGGTTGAGCCTCAAAAACATTATGTTCAGTGAAAGAAGTCGGAAACAAAGGTCCCACATTGTATGACCCATTTATACGAGTCATCCAGAACAGGTAAGTCCACACAGATGGAAAGTAGATCAGTGGTTGGCAGGCGCTGGGGGAGGGGCAATAAGAAGCAAAGCCCACACCCAGGAGGAATAGGTATGGGACCTCCTTTTGGAGTGATGAAAAAAATTTGGAACTAGATTAACGTGATAATTGCACAATATTTGTGCATGTAGTAAATGCCACTGAATTGTACACTCATAAATGGCTAACTTTATATTATGTGAATTTCACCTCAATATTTTTTTAAGAGATCTGGCAGGAAATGAGGAATTCAAATGGGGCAATTTTAATTCATCTTGGGATGATCTCTGCCTTTTCCCTGTTCACGGCCCTTGCTGGGTCATCCTCTCCACATAACCCTGTCTGATTCAGGTTCCAGTAACTGCTTTAGCCGCTGGCCCCAGAGTGGTAATGGCACCTCTGTCCCTGGCTCCTGGGGTAATGTACCATCCCTTTGAAATAGTGCTTTTATTAGACTCTTTTCAAATCATCCTTTTCCCTGCCTCCAGCGAGCAGACAGCAGGTATTCACTGAACAAACATCAAGTTCCCAGACAGTAACCAGCATTGTTCTATAGTGAACAAAACAGATCACATTCGTGCTCTGGCAATTAAATAAAGCATAACTAGATGTACATAATCAAAAAGTACATAATGAAAAATGAGATTTGTGTTATGGGGAAAAATCCAGCAAAGGAAGATGAGGAAGGCCTCTCTGAGGGGGTGATATTTGAGCAGAGTCCAAAAGGAAGCGGGGGAGGGGGATATCTGAAGGAAGCGCGCTCCAGGCAGAAGGCACAGCCTGTGCAAAGGCCCTGAGGCCAGGCTGAGCCTGAAAGAATAGCCCAGAGCCCAGTGAGGTTGGAACAGAGTGAGTGAGGGAGACAGCAGAAAGAGACGAGGGCTGGGAGGTGATAGGAAAGGCGGTGCAGGGCCTGATGGTCTGCTGGGAGGACTTGGGTCTTTACTCGGAGAAAGCTGGGAGCCACGGAGGGCTCTGAACAGAAGAGGATGGGGCCTGGCTTAGATTTCAAGACTCCCTGTAGCTGCAATATTACCTACCGACGACAGGGGGCGCCAGAGAGGCAGGAGGAGACCAGGGAGCGGGGCTGTGAGTTGTGAAAGGTGGTGGAATTTGTGATGTTTATTTATTTACTTTAAATGTTTTTATTTAATTATAGTTGACATAATATATTAGTTTCAGGTGTGACTGGACAGTTATAAACATTACAAAATGCTCTCCATGATCAGCGTAGTTACTGTCATCACAGTTATTACAATATTACTGACTACATTCCCTATGCTGCACATTTTATACCCATAACTAATTTATCTTATAACTGGAAGTTTGCACTTACCTATCTTGCCCATCTTCCCCCTCAGACTCCCCTCCCCGACTCCCTCCTTCCCACTAACACCCCCACCTTTGGCAAACACGTTTGTTCTCTGTATTTATGAGTCTGTTTCTGGGGGTGAGGGGGGTGTTTGCTTTGCTTTTGTATTCCACATATAGGGGAAATCACACGGCATTTGTCCTCCGACATTTCACTCAAGGTACTTCCACGCTGTGGCGTTGAGGTGATTTGCTGACAGATTAGTTGTGAGTGTGGGTTTGAGAAAAGGGGAAAAGTCAGGGAAGACTCCAAGGTTTTTGGCCTGGAGTTTTCAATGAAGAAAAGAAGGAAAAAAGGTTGGAGAGAAAAGCAGCAAATGGAAGAGAGGGAGGGAAATCTCCCGAGGAGGAGGTTAGCAATAAAGAGCCTGGAGGGTGTAGGTAGACGACACCCTGGGGCATTGGAAGGAAGGATGGCCCTGGTCCCCCGAACTGGAGAGATGGCGAGCATGTTCCCCTAGACAGGGGACCAGTGGAGTGGAGGGCGCTCCTGGGGAGGAGTAAGGGGCTGGGAACAGGGAGGACCGAGACGCAAAGACCCAGCCTTCCACCCAGTGGGATGACTTATCTTCCGCCTGG